GCCACACAAAGTGCGTCTGTCAGAGTTATTGACAGAACAATCAAGACGTAGGTGTCAGCTTCAATTAGTTCTTTCCAGCTTTACAAGATCCACGCTCTCTGTATTTTGTGGCCAAGTTCTCGCTCTGTTTTTACGCTCTCGTGGACTTGGCTCGGTTCAAAAGGCATATGGTGCAATTAGTCTTCGCTTCATCATGCATGTGTTCCTGGTTTTTGAGGCATTTCAGTCCTTTCAGGTACTCCCTCAGAGACCATGAAAGTCCTGTTGATGAGTCTGCAGGGGCAGACTGAAGGTTTCTGAGCTTCGTGGTTAAAGTTAGTAGTTAAGGTGATCAACTCTGTACTGTCTGAAACTCACAGGGGGGAAACATGATTCCTTACATAAGGACACGCTACCGTGGGGAAGGAGTGTCGAATAAGGGTGAATGTCCTAAAATGCATCAGTACAGCTGCAGATAATCAGTACTGATATCTTTTATTAAATATTTATTCTTTAAAATGTAAAAAAAAACATCTTTCAGGAGCTGGTTGGGATTTTAAAATAGATTTTTTGATCATCCTAAAATTCAGAAAACCAATTTCTTCTACTTCATGGCACCACTTTGGATGGACATATAGGTTTTGTACGGATGTTTTTTCTATATATATTGTTTTATATTTATAAATTGCAGGAAACACATTCTCACTCCCAACATGTCAGATATCAAATTGAAGGTGCCTCATGGTAATCTGCAAGAATAAATGCAACGTCCGATTATATTCTGGGTGAATATACCCTTATAATAAACACCTTTAAATTGTTAATTATAACTAATCTATGTTTTATTTTAAAATTGTTGTTTCATGATTAACACAGTTGGAATTTCTTTAAACACTGACATTATTTTGAACTTATCTGAGCACACTAATGAACTTTTTTATATTGTAAGTCTCTTTAACGTTTAGATATGCAGCATGACTGTACACATTAGCACCTTTTGTACATTAATATTCACATTAATGTGCTGCTCCTATTGTGGTATTTGACATCTTCCTTTATGATTATGAACTTGAATGTTCAATAAAGAGAAAAAAAATGGTAAGCAGAATGAATACAAGGTAATATTTGTAATATATGTGTATTGAAATTTTCCCTCCAACGTTGCCCAAGTACAAATCCAAGATTATTAAAGTTATTAGATTTTAGCCAAATGTAAAAGGACGATATAGCAGTTGTTAGCGAGTGAAAGGGAATAAACCCACGGTGAGTGACGTATGCAGAGTGGCGTGCCAGCTACTGTCTTCTGAGCAGCCAGGAGAGCAGCCCAGGGGAGCAATGAGTGTTAGTTCACTCTGGAGGTCCGTCAGGCTTTAGGGCCAGGCAGTAAACTTGATAGTAAAGTTGATTGGCCTTCTGCCCCTGATTAGTGAGCCTGAAACCACCAGTGACACTGTAGTGTACAGCCCACAGTATGTAACTGAGCTGACATCAACCTGCGAAACTCTTTAACCAGTCAAACAAGTAGTAATAACACTAATAATAATGATCAACCCATCAGTGCAATTTAAAGGTGGATTTCTAAGCAAAATGTCTGTGTGAAAAGTCAAAAAACAAGAAAGTAAAAATGATTCAACCCCAGACAGAAGGAAGAGCTTTAGGTGGAAGAGGTCAGTCAGAGTTTAGAGTCGGGTAGTAAAGTTGATGGTAATAAACTTGATTGGCTTCAGCTCACAACTGACAGTCTGAAGTCCTACATTTCATCTTCTGAGCTTAAAGCAACTCATAAAGAAAAAGTCCTCACATCCTTTACTTAAGTAAAAGTACAGATACCTTCGTGTAAAAATACCACAGGTAAACGTCCTGAAGTCAAAATGTTACTGAAGTAAAAGTAAGTACAGAAGGATTATCAGCAAAATGTACTTAAAGTATCAAAAGTGAAAGTGGTCGTTAAGCAGAACGAATCCTTTCATACTGTTACATGAATATTATTAGAATATATTATTATTGTATCACTAATTAATACATGTAAGAGCACTTTAAAGTTGTAGTTCACCTTGTAAACTAAGATCCATGTTGTAATGTTTTTAGGCATTTTTCTTACAATTCAATTCAGTTTTATTTGTATAGCGCCGATTCATAACTCAGATAGAGCAGATCTAGACGGTACTCCTTATAAAATTATTTACAGAGACCCAACAGTTATATTATTTACAGAACCAACATCCAGGTTTGCAATAGAATTGTGGGAGGACGTGAAAACTGCAAAAAAAGATTATTATTATTATTATTATTTGTATGATTTATTATAGATCAACAGGGTAAATGTGAGTCGTCGCATTGCACGTCTGCAGCTTCATAAATAGAAACAAGGAAGTGAGTTTGGGGATGTATGGCTCAACGTTTTGTGCAGGAAACCACAGCGATGGTGGTCACGTTATGCTTCACACAGACATTGTCTTTGCATGAAACTAACTCCCTTTTTACAGCCTGTGCAGAATAAGTTGCAGTGAAAGGACCAAATTGCAAGGTTGTGCAGAATTCACACAGATTGGTTTTGCAATTTGCGTTAATTGTTGCAAATGCAACATTACAACTTCCTGGAGGGATGATCATATGCTATACACATCTTCTGTGTCAAATAAATGTAGTGGAGTAAAAAGTACAATATTTGCCTCTGGGGAGCAGACGTAATGGAAATACTAGTTACTTACATTCCACCACTGATATTTGGTTTTATAATGTATGAGCTCTCAATGACCACAAACCACAAAACTAACTGTGATGGAAGAAGAAAAGAGTTTGAGTTAACAGAGGGAAGCAGGACAGCAGACAGCAGCTGCTGATAACTGAGCAGTGAACTTCAGCCCTGATGTTTGAGGCTTAAAGGATTCAATTCATCAATTAGTTGATAGAAAATTAGTTAGCAACTTCTTGAAAATTGATCAACCAACCAAAGTCAACCAACCAAAGTTATAACTTCTCAGTAGTGACCTCTCATGACAACATGACTGATAACCTTTAGGTTTAGGACTAAATAAACTATAAAGACATCAGAGTTATTTTCTGACATTTCATAGACCAAACACATCAAGAAAATAATAGTTAGCTAAATGTGTTTTGCAACCAATCTGAACTTTGTTCAACGTCTCCATGATTACTCCACTGGTGGAGGAACACATAGCTCATGTCCACGGTCTGTAATTGTTCTCACCTCCTCACAGTCCTCTGGATGACCTTACCTGAACCGACCAAATCCTTTGCCTTGCCCTGACTCTCGATCAAAGCACCCCTACTTGACCTCCGACCTCTGCCTTTGATCAGCCAACAGCTTTAACCTTTTCATTTCGCTTCACTCACTTTCAAAAAGATAGAATTTACTAGAAAGCTTCAACCTCTGGAGAGATAAAGTTGATGTGATTCCCACAGATATTGACATATTTCAGTCTAACCAAGCAACGGATTAACTACCAAATTCATTCATCCGAATCCAAATCTATTTATTATCTAGCAATTATGCTACCTATGATACATATAATATATTATTTATTTGGAGCATTTTACAAGTTTGAGCTTCGAGTCCTAAACAATATATAATAATGTGCTCTTCACCTAATTGAATTACATTTTAACAACAGAACTAAATGAATTTATCTTTGGTATCGCAACATTAGTTCTTCATGGTTCTCTCCTGCGATTGGATGCTATTAAACTGGTTCAAACAAAGTGGATCTGAGGAATTAAATGTGAGAATTATTAACTTTAATGTTAAGTGACCCAGGAAATGAATTATTTGAGAGAAAGGGAGGATGAAATGCAGCAAAGGGCCCAGGCTGGAATCGAACTTGAGCCACTGTGGTATAGACTTGATTTACATTGTATGTCTTTCCTGCTCTGTTTGTCCCTTTTCTTCTTCTGTACCCTGTAGCTGTGCCCAGGTGTGCTGATTGTTAGACGAGGTGCACCTGCCCTGTGATGAGGTGTTTAAAAGCCTTCTGCCAGCGTCAGAAGAGAGGCTTCTGGCACAGGACTGCTGGTGTTGCTGCCTCTCAGCGTGGGGTTTTGTCTTGCTTTGGGTCTTCTGTTAGTGGTTGTTTTGGGTCAGTGCTGTTTGCCCTGTAGAGCAGCCAAAAGCCCAGCTCACAATGCCTGCTAATGCAGCTCGTGTGCACGATGGAACATCTTGTTTTTTATTCTTTATTATAGAGTGGCCACATTGCTCCTGTGAGTCGCGTGTCTGTAGCGTCGCTTCATTACACAGTCGAGGGCCTGCATAGTTTTATAACAGATAGTGAAAAGTTCGTAGTCATATCGACATTACACCAGCAACATATACATCTTTCACTGTAGTTTCAATGTCTATATCTGTAGAATATGTCACAGAAATGGGGAAAAAAGTGTAAATATATATTTATATGTATATTCTTGTGCTTTTATTGTACTTTATCAAAGGCGCTCTTTGTGTGATCATCTATATGTTTATCAGAGTCACATAACAACTTTACTGTGTCACCTTAATGCTGCACACTGGTGCCCCACCGCCTGCTGCTGGTTTACAATTCTGGCCCCTCAGACAGTCTGATGCATCCACTAGAGAGTTTTTGTACATCCTCCCTCCCTGAGCAAAACCACACTGCATGCAGCAGCCAAGAGTCTGTTTGTGATGTCAGATCCTGGAGCTGCTTCACTGACGATGAATGGAGAGCAGGTTTGTCAGCGCAGCATCAAACTCTGACCGCAACAAACAAAAAGAGAGAGACACAGTGCGGAGCGTCTCGCTAACGTCATGGAGAGTCCAGCAGGGGACAGAGACCGCTTCAAAACACATTAAAGATTTTAGGCCCCTGCGTTCCCTTAAAAACATCTAAAAATTCAGATGTTTTCCATCGCAAATCCTCCGCCCAAGAGGGACCCGTAAAGCACATAGAATTACATCAGAGAGAAAGAGAGGAGGAGGAGAGAGGAGAGGGAGGAAAAATTCTTCAAGTATGAGAAAATTTTACTGCTCTCCTCCCCTCTCTCTCTTTCTTTCTGTCTTTTATTTTTTTCCTTCCCTCTCTCTCTCTCTTTCTGTCCATCCCCCGTCCTTCTGGTCCTGTTGGTCAGTCAATGAGAGTTTCTCTGACACTGAGAGACACTTCTGGACCAGCTGAGAGAGAGACACTACAGATCTGAGCAGGTAGGACACTTCTAAAGATTCTCAAACTCTTTGATTTTGCATATTTGATTTATTTCATTCATTAAAAAGAGTCTGAAATCATTTCATTGACATTTTGGATTCTGCATAAACCTGCACGAGGAGATATTAAATTCAAAATTAGAGCAGAAATTTAGAACTGGAGCTGAAACAATTTGTAGATTAATTGATGATGATTAATAAGTAATGGTTGCCAATCATTCATGCATCCCAGCTCCTCAACTGTGAGATTTTATTGCTTTTCTTCTCTTTTTTTCTGTCATTTTAAAGACCAAATAATCAATTAATCTAGAAATTAAAAGGTAATATGCAACCATATATTTAATATTCTGAATAACATCTCGTCTTTTATTGAGTCACAAAAAGTGAATTTTCTTTTGCAATGCAATAATCAATATTTTTTCTGTGTATCCACTATGTATGTATATAAAGTGAATTTAAGCAGAAACAAGAGAGAATAAGTCAGGTTGTTGGAATATCAAAAACAAGAGAATTTGTGCTGATGGTGAAATGGTCCCCACTGGCATATTTCTACTTGTTTTAATAAGATTGGATTTTTAAGCCTCACGTTTTAGGAATAAAGAACAAAATGACCAGTTAAAGATTAGAATTTTTTGATTTGGTCAGGTGGTTTCCAGACTTCCTCCTGCAGGTCGACCCGTCAGTGCTGCAGTGTTAATTGTACTGACAGCGAAAGTTATGTGAAGACCACAAACTTTGTGAGTGACAGAGCTTTTTCTCTTCTGAGTGATTTCATAGTTGTGCATGTTGTCCATGTGACTTCTGCCTGTAAAAGTCTGTGATGGATTTCACAGCGTCTGGCTGTTCAGAAACCGATAGCCGTTGGCGAGGGCGTGTGATGGTTGTGATTGCATTGTATCATGCCATCGAACTTCCATAAAAACTACACTTATTCTAACCAAAAACCTTAAGTCAAAGTCCACTAACAACCTTTTTTCTGAGATTTCCTTCACCAGGCGATTGAGCTAATAAGTGGACCTTTTTGTGGGAAACATACTAGTATTATCGTTTAAGGGGAGCTCTGCAGATTTTCCACCTCAGCGTGTTTCCAGGTGTTGGGAAATACACCTCAAGCATAAAGCCTGTAGCGCCTGCAGAGGGCGCTGATGAATGTCCTCAAGTGATGTCACTTGAGTCAGCGTCAGTCGAAGATTATAACTTTAAGAAATTTGTTGGAGCCACTGGACCTCTGTAGCTGCTCCTCATTTCTCCTCCAGGCTAAATTAGCCACTGCTAGCATAACACAACCAATTATGTGCAGTTGAGTGAATCAAGTTGGGTTGCATTGTGGGTAATGTAGGTGGCAGATTTTGACAAAAAAAGAAGAATTTGTGGAATAAAATATGATATCTATATATCTCTGGTCCTGCTGCATCGATTTTTATCCCGTTTTTATTTATTTTTTAACTCTCCATCGTGAGTTTGTCGACGTTATTGGAGTTTAATGTTAGATTCCCGCAGGCGTGGTGGCATTGATATCTGGATACGAAATGGCTGCTGGAGCTGATCGATGCTGTTTAGACGATGCTTGTAAATCCTCCACAAGTGCTGCAGCATGTTTCAGAAGCGACTCTCTGCTATATTTTTAACAGAAGAATCCGGTCAATTTTCTAAATAAAACACCATGTATAGACTCCTGATAACACAGACGGGAAAAAAAAAGAAACCATTTAACCACGTAGCCTCCAAAAGGCTCTTTTCTGTCCATCGTCATTGTGATGTAAAGATAAATGATTGATAATATGAATTTAAAAAAATAAGAGCATAAAATCTTTGCTCACAGTGCAGGATAAGTTTAAAAAGTAAAATATATAATTAGATTTAGCACAATGCAGCCTGCAAATATCACCAGATTGGTCTGTTTGGGGTTTTTATAAACGTGTGGAAAGGAAAGAAAACTGTAGAATGAGTGTTTCAGGTTTGAATGCAAGTTTAAGAGCGATTTTATTGTTAAACTGCCAAACTGCAGTTAAACTTCTGCAAATACAGAGTCTCTCTATAATTAGTAAAAGCACACAGCTTAATCCACCTCACATCTGAGGGCCTTGTGGTGTCGCTTGCTGACAGTCCGATCACAGCGTCAACCTGAGCCAAGTTTGGGTATCGAGTGCCAAGCTCGTGTTTCAAGGAGCCGTTTATAAGGAGTTTATTTTGGCTCCTGAAAGCTGGAGGAAAAGGCTCCGACTGAAAGATGAAAACCAGCAGCAGACAGAGAAAGCAGAGGTGAAGAGCAAGTGTAGTCTTTATGGTGCGTTTAGGGAGCTTCTATTGCCCTCCTGCGTTTCCGGAGAGGTCCAACAGCAGCAGCTGGAACAGCCGTCACTGGCAGGTATTTACGAGCTAATTGTTCCCATTGAAGTCAATGGAACAGGCTCACTAACAGGCCGAGGTGTAGACCATGATGGGAATTAAACTACAGATGCTGAACCCCGTTGGTGTCGGGTCAAGTCAAATTAGTAACAGAGGAAATAAAAGTGGGCAGAGTTAAAAACAGGTCCGGTTGACAAATGAGGTCCCGCAGACTACAGCTGCAGTGAGACAGTACGCAGAACTTTAACTTAAACGTACTATCAGGAGTTTTAACTGGTTATAAAACAGCCTCTGTTTAATACTGAAGCCTCTATACGACCGACATAAACAGACAAGACCATCAGAGAGAAGACTGGCTGTTCATATATACCAGATGAGTGGACTCAGGCATGATGAGGCACAAATTTCATGACTTTAGACTCGACAAAATCAAAAAGGACTTTAACTTTAACACAGACGTCTTCACTTGGACTTGAGCCTTTTGACTTGAAAAGACTTACAACCTTCCCCCCCAAGCCCAAAGAGTTCAAAAGCATGTTATTTAAAGTGTCCCATCATCTCCTGAACACTATTCCTTCCCAGCAAGTTGACACTTTATTTCCAAGATGCACTTGAACCAACATGACAGCATCCAGTCGAGTTGCAGGAGAGAACCACAAAGAACTAACGTTGAAGATTTTGTTTGCATACAAAAACTACAAGTGTACATTATAACTTGTTTAGGACTCAAAACTTGTAACTTGCAACACAATGACTTGGTCTCCCCTCATATATAAAGTCGTGGAGTCCGCCATGTTGAACCG